ATAAACTCTGACCAATATTTATCCAACTTTCATCTGAGTACACTACGTTCCTTTCCTGATTTCTAAATCAATTTTCTATCATTAGGGTCTTTTTCTTGTTTTTTAAAATCAAATCCCATTTCTATCAATTAGCGTCAAAATGTATAATATTTTAAATTTGGTAAATGGTTATCATTAACAGCTTTCATTACATAAACGACTGTTGCAGGAACATTTTAAAATAGAACTCCATGGAATCAGGACCGGATATCTAAATAGGCTGAGTAGACTGCAGCCTATAGCTGAAAAGTTTTAGGGGCGGCAGTTTGGAAATTTATTCAAAAGTGAAAAAGAAATATTTCTGGGGAACCTTGATGCTGCTTACGGTGATTCTGTTGAGGACGAAAATGCTTTTGCTCGAACGAGATATTCCAAAACAGCCATGTTGAAACAGAACCTACTAAAATATGTGTTCACTGTGAGATCGTACCTGATTTGATGTTAAAAGTTCATCTTTAAAGAATATAAAGAGTCAACTTTAGCAAACTCATTTAATAAAGGATTTAACTTTGTGGATCATAAATGATGCTTATAGAGATTAATAGCAAACTAGTTCAGTTACAACAGCACATACTTTCTCGCAATATTACAATGTTATCGTTATGTACGACGGGACGCCCATATATTCTTCATTAATTTCTAACAAATTGCGCGAAAACTACTCAATTTTACAAAAAAAATTATATGACCTTTTTAAAGAGCTAATTTTGTATAAAATACTTTATCTTCTTTAGATTTCTCTTTCAACACAGCAAGATCACACAATTGTCCTGGTCCTATTGAAGCTCCAAGTAGAAAATTATCAATTTTAACTTGCTGAAATATCTCTTACAGCTTGCAATAGAAACAATAGCTAACATTATTTGAATAGCGATACATACATTTGGAAAACCACTCTCGTCTCTCTATTTAAAAATAATTTGCACAAATTGTGATTATTGAATTTTTTAAAATTGATGTAATGTTTTGAGAAATAATGGCGGGGAAGTAATAGTATTTTTTTGACAGGTCGAGAGCTCCACGGCTCTTAAATGTTTAAATAAAAGTTTATTTTATTTAATCTTATGTGTTAACTTTAAATTTAAAAAAACATTATTCAACTTTTTTTCCGTAAATGTCGAAAGCTTGAGTGCCCCTCGTGAGTGGCGCCTATGGCACGTGCGAAATCTGCCATACCGTAGATACACCCCTGAATACATTTCTTTCCTATCATAAATCCGAGTATAAAGTTTATTTCAAATGTCACTTAACATTCCAAAATACTTATGACACCTTTTGATTAATGACATTTGAAACTCTGAAAAATGTCGGACCCAATGCCGTGTCATCCACTTCCCTCTGATTGAAATCCCCACCCACATATTCTCTGTATAATACAAGGCTTTCCCGGCGTCACCATATTTGTTCGCCCACCCCCGAGCTTGCTTATTGACTGGTCGCCGTGATAACGTGTATTCTTAGACTTAGTGCTCATTCTGTATGCATTAATTGACGTGCTATTTACAATATCTTGATGTCGTTATGCTAAAATAAAACGGGAACTTTCTGGCTTATGACTCAGTTTCTAGGCCAATGACCCCATCTCTATCAGGATTTCATCCAGTTTCCATGTGTCTTCGAACAAATGCTGAGGTGGCCCCTTGATTTGCTTCCGGACAGTAAATGTAACTTCACTTTCTGCGCTCAAGGTGTACGCAATCATACTTCCTCCACATACATAATATTTGATTCTTCATACACAATTGAAATTGTATATTATACGCGCACGTTTTCTTGAGCCCTGGCATACCTACCCCCACTCCTTTACTTGTATTAGTTGAATTCAGAAAAAAATATAGCAACAAGTTTTGTTGACAAACGGATAACCAGAAGTGTTTGCTCCTGACTAATAGAAAATAGTTTGCATCGAAAAACGAGCTACAGATATCGTATAATAGTTCTGTCAATAAAATAATCCCTCCCCCATTCCCTTCGCATCTAGCGAAGTGAGGGCTAAAGAAAACATGCGGGGATATATGTGACTCAATAATTATTATTATAATGCAGGGGCGCGTGGTGATTACTTTGTACACTCCAGCTGCTAGTAGCCAACCTGCTCATCCATCACTTTAATTTGTAATCTGCAATAATTATGCCATTGCTGGTGTTGGCCTACCATTTTCAATTACTTGATCCTTCTCGTGGAACCATCTCGTTGAAAATGGTGTCCCAAAAATATCATTCACTATCCTAAATTTATACATTCACTGGATGACATTCTACACAGAATTATTCCTGACCCTCGTTAAACATATCATTTTTACTACACTGATACGTTACTACAAATCCTCACGAAATTACAAGTAAATACAAGCTCACAAACACTACAATGGATCACCACTGCGCACGCCCTACCCTGACACGTACATGGATTCTCTAAGAATATGCTGTGCTGGTCACAAATCCGAGGGTTCTAGGGGTTTGATCATGAGTCAGAACTTCCTCTCTCAGAAAAATTAATAAAATCTATTCTGAACATTTTGGTTCACTCTTATTACAGTAAGGGAGGATTATGTGTCCCATAATCATTTTATGAGTTATAAACTTCGCGATAATCGGTACGATAATGCATACTAACTAAACGTTATATTTAAAATAATTTTGCATTGCGGTGGCTCTAGCTTATGAGTAATCACGTTCGCAGACAGGACGAGCCAGGCAAGGCCTGGCCTTAAAGCAGCGGGAGGGGGAGAAACGTCATTCATCTCCAACTAGCTAGGGTTCAGTCAACTCACCAACACTCCCTGTAGAGGCGGTGTTGGTTCAGTGCACTATCGCCTGTCTCTGGCTCAGTGAAGTATACGCGCTCGCAACACCCATGCCCGACGAAGATATCAGTGCTGGGGCTAGAGCATTGCAAAAGCAGTAGGTCGCCACAGATAGCAGTAGAGTGTACAGTGGGTGCAATATTTTTGATCATGTGACATACGGTACATTGTCATTTTTATTCTCAAAATTCCTCAAATTGTCATTTTTGTTTACCCCTGCAGTGCTGGGGTTGCATGCACGTCATTGTTATAATGAATGAAGATAGCAACAAGAATATTTGGCACAATTTGATAAGAAATGTTTTTTGTAATTAAATAAGCTACAATACATCAAATGTGTATTTTAAAATTCCACAGCTTCAACAATCTTAACCAGTTCTAAAATTTTATAAAAATGAAATCAAGTTTAATTTTAATGTATATTAGATGTATGCTATTACTTGGGCTTGGAAGTTTGGCAAACTTTCTTTCTATTAAAAGTTATTCTAAGATTTTTAACAAAATAAATTATTTGACTGTGGGTTTGGAAGGGTTTTAAAATACTTTAATTTTTGCTTTTTTGGTTTGCTTATATTAAGTATTTTGTCTTCTTTTGACCCCTTTCTTCCTTTTCGTTCTCTTGTCACCAATCTCAATCAAGCATGAAATTTACCTGCATGCCAAGACGACAGATGGACACCTTCGTGGTTCTCTTTATCTGCATGCCAAACCATAGCATGCAAGAAGTTCTGGAATCGCATTCAGAGTCAGAAAGTGTCAGTGAAAGTAAGATTCTTGCATCTCTTTCATTGAGGCTTACAGGCTTTCTTTAGTCATGAGGAATCCCATCCTGTGCTAAGAGTGTAACCCCTGACTCCTCTGGACAATGTCCTGTTTACAATAATGATACAGCATAGTGCAGCGGTATAGATAGCATGATAAGTAGTGAGGAGATTTCCACAATTTTGCATATATTTATCGATTGCTTCAGGGTAGAGCTAAGTGAAATTTCTTGACATTTGGTTAGAATTGGATGCTATTTAGATTATTGTTTCTGCATATTTGGCAGTTTTCCTGTTGTTCCATATTCATGTAATAATTGGGGCATATTTTGTTAAAATAGACGCTTGTCTCTAAAACGTTTCATCTTTTCATAGAATCTTCTAATTATTTGTGAGCATTCATTGATAAGGATGAGCTTGTCAGTTTGTGTTTTTTTCTTTTCTACAGATGAGAAAATACTTGTGCAAATGAAGGATATTTCTTGATGTATTTTTTAAACCAGACAGAGGGCACGCAACAAGACATACAATGTACTTCACAAAAGTGAATATTTATTTCAATTTTCTCCTATGAAGTAAGGATTGTATTATGTTTGCACAAAAATATATTTTTTCATTCCAAGCATACTTCTCCAGAATTTTACAAAGAAAAGTTTATTCAGGAAATGAAATATTGTAAATTTTAATTGCATATTCAAGAACTTTTAGGTCATAAATACATATTTTTATTAGCATATTTCAAGATTCTTTAGATCATAAAAATCTACCCCTCCCATGGCACAACGCATTCCACTTAAAAATTCAAGACCAAAGTCTACACTAACATTTTGTATACATAGAACGAAGAGTGAAACAAAGTTAGTGATCATGCTGAAATTTAGCACTGCCACTAACAATAATTCTCAGTAGTGAAACTGAAAAATAATTTGTTAGTTCATATTTTTCTAACACATGGTTGAATGTGTAAAAAAATAAAGATGTATCTGGTGGTTATATACAATTATTATTCCTGTTATGTGCTGGGGTAAATTGCGGATAGAATGAAAACTTGAAAAATGCAATTTAATATATTTTTACTACATACTGTTTTTAAACATTTGTCGTATTTTACATGCTCTTTGCATTCCATATTTTATCCAGAAGCCCTTTTGCCTCCCTATTTTAGCTGAGACAAATGCCTAAACTTCTAGGCTCGACATGTATTCAAGTTTCTATTTATGTAATTAGGTCAAATCCCCTTGCGAGCATGAGACTTCTCTGTAGTTTGCTATCATTTTCTTGTGACACAGGATGAAAACACCTCTACTAGAATAAATAGATATTATTCACTTGTGGTCAAAGAAGCAATAGGAGTATAATTTCAGGTATCATTCGTGAACAAAAAGGTAACATTGAAAATAAACAAATGCATGAAACAACTTTATTCTGTAAGATAAATGATTATAATACACAAGTGAGACAGTACAATAATGGAGGGAATTTAAAATCTGTATAAATTTTATTTTTTCAACAAAAAATTTGTGATATTGCATAATGACATACACAACGATCCTCTCCATCATTGAAACACAGTCACTGAAATTCCAAACAGTGCTCTCATTGTGTCTTAAATCCATTCCTGTAAGCTGGCACCTCAAAGGTATTAAAATGTTTACAAATTGGCAGGTCACCAAATTGAATACTTCATATCCCGTAAGCCCTTTCTTCCCTGTTAATGTATGCTATGTTCCATTAACACAATGATTAAAACACCAGATTTTTGAAAAATCATTGATTTCACACAGCACTCACTGTATATATTAATTCACTGTACTTGCAAAATTTCTACGATGTTAACAGGAAAACAAACACTATACACAATGAACAAAACCGGAGGACAAAATTTTTTTAAAACCGTAGTGACCTAGCACTTTGTGCCAGTGGTGTTTGACATGCCACGAAACATGCACATTTTTATTTCCTATAATTAGTAGAAGTGTGAAAAAAAACCTACTTGTATCAAAATTACTTGCCAGCCTTATATACATTCATAATACACTGATTATAGGTCATATGAATACTACACTTAAATGCATCATTCCCAATGAAATGTGCATCACAGAATCACTTTGAATGCATGCACAACATCTGAATGTCTTAAGATTAGTCATAAATACAATACCTGCAAGGGATATATATGGATTTAAATGACTATTCAATATGGTTCTCATTTTGCCAAAGTAAATACAGCTGTAGTTAAAACACATTCATCCTTCAATATATTTGTATCAACACTAGATAATTTAACAAGTTACTTATTATGCCATTTATCTTTTAAAATTGTAAAATAATGGTAGACCTAACATGTCAAAAGTGTACAAGAAAACTGATCATAAGTACTTTATTTCAAGAAGCATTAGCAGAAGGGAGAAGAGTGAAAACACAACCACTCTAAGAGACAAAGAGTACAAATAACGTTATAACTTACACTAGACAAGTAGCTCCTATTTTTTAAAAATTCGCAAACTAACCTCACTGCATATCTAAAGCATCAGTCTTCACACTGAAATTTATTTATATTACATCTGATTGCCATACACGAACAAATAAACGTGTTTGTCTGTAACTCATAGTCTAAATTCAGGTATGTATTCTGAAGGCAACTGTGCAAAACCCTTGACCCCACTGATGAATTATTTCCCTGCAGAAACAAGATAATAAATTTCTCAATTGTTCTCATGAAACAGCAGACCACAGCATTAGAAGAAGCTGTTTCCTATACATTTATTGAATTCATTCTACTGTTCTTCACGAGAAAAACACACCCTAGAGTGAGTGCATATACATCAATGTAAACAAGATATAATGTATATATATACATGTTACATTACTCCAAGTTTGGGACTTTCTTACTCAATAGCGACTTGAAGACATCTGGGCACGGACGGTAGCAGCAGCTGCATTCGTAGCAGCATTTTGAACATGTTCATTACGAAGAAATTCTGTTGTGAATTCCTGCTGCGCCTTGGCAAAGCTGGCCCCTGTACTGCGATAAATTCTGTGAATCTGAAAAAAGAATTTACATTATTGCTTATATATGCCATATACAAGTATTGCAAAGTTCAGTATTGCATACCTTAGAGAGCAGAAGTAAATCCATGCAAGCAGCAGCTACAAAACCAAATGCAATAATAAGGATAATAATTCCTATTGCCACACCACTGGCAGAATGGTCAAAAACTTGAATAGCCCTTAAAATGCCACTGAAAAAAAAAAACCCAACAAAAAACACTATTTATTAAACATTGGGAACCTTCCATAAAAAAGTCATGAAATGGAACGTAGCATACTCACCATGTTCCAGACCCTTGTATCCCAATAGCTTGAATAACGGAGACAATGAACTGGAAAAAGAATACGAAGAAAAACACCATAAAGTTGAAAGAACTGTCACTCCTGCAAAAGAGAGAGAATTGTACACTCAAATTAAAATTAAAGAAAACATTAAAATTGAAGTTGTTCTAAATAGCTATGATAATTTTACTGAAATATTTTCAATTAAAAATATGGAAAAATACTCTAATCACAATGGTGCTTATACAAATTGGGAGAAGGCTTTTGAAAACAACAATTGAATTAATAATAATAAAACTATTCACAATTAGAAATACCAGACCACAAAGGATGATTATTATCAGAGCAAGATAAGATCTTTATCAGCAATGATAACCAACTACTTCAGATTACAACCAATTTCACCCACCTGAATGCTTTATAAGCTGGTCTATACCAGCAAAGAAATGAAAATGGCGTGAAGAGAATTAAATATATCAAACCCAAACCGAAAGTGGTAAATTCAGAAGCAGGATAGAATATAAGTATTAAACCTCCCAGAACATTCAGGAGCAATACAAGTGCATGAACTGAAACAAATTGAATGAATTAACAAATTATAATAAGATATTAAATGTTGGCTAAATACCACATTGCAGAAAGGTTTCAAACCGTACTTACACATCCAAAGGTAATACAAGTAACGCACAATTTTTTGGAACTCTAAAGGAATGTCAACATTAATATCTTGATAGAAACAAGGCTGAAAGCAGCATTTTTCAGGCAAAGGTGGCCAATTGTTTCTCCTAGCTGAAAACCATATCTGTATGAATACAATGAATCTTATTTAATTACAAGCAATTGATTCAAGTGGATTTCAGTTTTACAAACCATTGTATGGAGCATTTTTCAATTCCTCTTCTCGCCTTGCTAACTCTGCTGCTTTTCTATCCAATTCCTCTTGTCTCCGCTAAAAAAATTTAACACAAGTGTACACAAAGACAACATAATCAAAACAGTAAGGCAGTATTACCAGAAAAATATTACATGAAAACAAGGAGTAGAAAAAAATATACCTTTAGTTCCTGTTAAGGTTAAATTGCAGGACAGAAAAAGAAACATAACTATATTACAACGAAGTAAGACAATTAAATGGTAAAGAGCAAAAATATATTACCTGATATTCTGCAGTAGAAATCTGATTCATCTGTGGCTGCTGGATTTGTTGTTGGGCACTTTTTGTGTATGGAGGAGGGGCAGGTTCCAAATTGGACTGCATCATTGCTGGTTGCGCAACTTGCATTGTTGGCACATTTTGATATTGTGGAGGATTATTTGCTCCTCGAGTCTAAAAAATTGATGATGGTAAATTGGTTTTAGCAAGAACAGTAAATATAAAGTTACATTGAAAGTCTATGACATTACTCTGACATATGACACCACACTCCATGCTACAAACTATTATGATGATAACACAATTGTACCTTTCTGGTGGCCAAATTTGGTAACCTACGATCAAATTCTGTACAGGAAAGAGGAACTCAAAATCCCATGGGTACACCATACCTGAGGAAGCCTCTGATCTGCTTGGTCAGCAAATGGGTTATAATCCTCCAATCCTCGTTGGACATTGCTAATGTTGCCTGTGACTTGTTGCACAGCTGGATCCTAAAGTAATGGCATTAAATTAAGCATTATGACATGAACGTCACTTTCGTATAACGCATAAGTAACTTCTTGTGACGTACGCCAATTCGCAAAGTAACAGACGTACATGACAGGAAACAACACGTACCGCAAAAGGCTCAGTAGGTTCTCCAAAAGGATTTTCGTCGAATCCTGACATCTTGTCCAAGTCCTTAGTGAATCACAATTCAGGAAATAAGAAAACAAAACTGAACCAATACACTCCTTCACAAAGTAGCCAACCTCACACTCGTTTCTTAATCCATTATGAGGAATATCATGAGACGATGTCGCACCCGTTGCACCGACCACACAGCGCAAGTCTCAGTGATGTCAGTTTCATTATCCAATCAACGACTTACAGAACCGCGGTTCTTTTAAATGATTTCTTTCTAAGGTTATTTACTCAAGGTTATGGAACGTGAACTTTACTTTGAGAACAGTATCATTAACAAGATACAGAATCAATTATTATCATTATTTCACTTCATTTAAGTACAATACGTTTATATTTCATATAGTTATTGTACTGCTGGAAATAAAAATTCACTTGGGAATGATTACGTATGAACAAAAATGAACAGTACATTTTAATTTGCCTATGTCTACAATATTGTATGACAAAATTGCGTTCAATTGCGTTTGTATCACTTTGTTCTTAGGGTGTAACATTGGTTTCACCAGAGCTCCGTTAGATAGCAGAGATGTTGGCATCACGTTCAAGGTGTTTATGGCTACTTCACTAAATTGCTGGCAGGTAGCATTGTAGTAACTCTTCCCGCCCACAACTTCGCTCTGTGAATGGGATTTGTTGTAAAAGGAAGAGAGCTGCGAGCTACTTGTAAGAGGGAGTTGAGTAAGCACATACAGAATTTGCTTCGTGGAATTACATATTACACGTTTTTTTCTGCCGGTACTATAGTGATGTACGAAGCCTAAACTCGTGGAGTGATATGACAGTTGTGTTTAATCGGAGTTTCTAATTTATTCGTTTGCTGTCAAGTCTACCTGGTAAGTTGTATTTTCCAATTTGCTGTAAACATATATTATTTTTTCCAGTCATTACCAGTATAAACCATTGTATATTGCTATAAAGTGATATTTTATTTTTTATGTGCATTAGAAATACCTTTTGATAGGACCCTACTAACCTCACTTTGAAGACTTGTTTCCTGCAACTTTGCATTACTATCTGGACATCCAAGATCCATGAATCTGGCTATTCATTAGGTAAAGAAACAATTGTCATGTTATGAAAAAGTGAGATGAAAGTACCAATGACACGAATTCTCGTAGTTAATCTGGAAAGTGTGAACTATTCATTACATTATTTTATTCGTCCTGAAGGAAAGTGATGCAATAACTTTTGGATAATTTAAAACAAAGCACGTGTTCCGACTAGGAGTAATATCGAAATGAACCTATCGAAATACGAAGACGTTGCGAATTGCCAATTTATCCTATGACGGCGACGTCGAACGACGTTGATGGAGCGTAAGTGCGCCGTCTAGTTTTCATGGAGACAATTTTACGGTCTGATTAGATATGTTTCGAAGGTTTCATACAATTGATAAGGCGTTTACTCTTGTTTTGTATCTTTTAACATGTTCAATGATTACAGAGATGTATCACTGAATTCCAAAGCATATTTTTTTGACTATCGTAAAGAAATGGAAGCTGTTGTTCCATACATTAATTTCGGCTTATATTTGTACCTTGCGTAATTTTGTTTAGATTCTGTTCATTTACAATTATCTTTTCATGTCAGATGTGGGATCATACTCGCCGTTGTTTTGTTTTATCGACTATGCGTCTGTTAGTTTATTTTTATTCAATGATTTTTTTGTTCCAGCAATTGGTGACAGTTGATGAAAGTACTGAGTTAAGAATAAAGTATTAAAATATTTTGCTTGCAAAAATATTCATAAATGTTGAAGCCATAAATTATTTTTACAGTGAAATTTGGACTGACGTAGTATGATATACACTGAAATGTGTTAATTTTTTACTAATATATTTTTCGATTTATTTTTTCTTTAAATTTAGAATTTAAATACGTCTGTTAGGTATTGAAGTGGATCGACCTATTGGAAGTGTTTTGTAATATTCCTAGCGACAAAAAAATTGAATAAAAGTCAACAATGTACATAATTGTTTTTTTAGTCTTTTCTCTGTTTGTGTGTATTTCATTTCGTTACAAAAATGTACAAAATAGAAAATAGTGTAAACAATGATTGTAATGTTTTGAACTAATTTGAGTTTGAGGCAAAGAAAAAACCTAGTTTCCCTACTTTCAGACCGATCGCCTGTCCTCCATTTTACAAAAAATGATGCTATTACTGAAATCAATTTTTCCTAAATACCTCGAAAAGTTTTAACACTTTATGAGGGTGGAAATTTCTGGACATTTTCAATAATGAAAACAAGTTAATAAGTTAATTTTTGGCCGAAAATTAAAACTTTAAAATCATTTAAACGCGAAAAAAATCACAAGCATATAGAAAATATAACAATTTTTTAAAGTGTTAGTATCCTGAGATGTGTGAATTTAGAATATTTAAAGGACGCATTTGTCATTTCTTTTATTGCTTCGATTACTTTGTGCACGGGTTGTTGTTTTGGAACGCGAATTGGCATTGTGGATGGGGTGCTTATATATAAGATGAACAAAATTTTTAAGTGTGGATAGGTTTGTTGATACACTACTAAACTTGCAATGGATATGAATATCATATAGTACAAGTTCGTACACGTACTTAAATATACACATTTTTGTGACTATTCTTGGCCGATTGTTGACCCCTGAGTTGAAGTTAAGCTGCCATCATCAATCTCGTGGGTCCTATAATGGTTCTGGATAAGAACTGTGGTTTTACTTAACACGAGCGTTGCAAAATATAACGTAATGAAAAAGGAGGAGTAGAGCGTGGAGGAATTGGGGAAGAAGAAGAAAATGTGAAGACTGGGGATCGGATTTTTTTGCAGTTGTACAGTTCTGCTTAGCCGTAGAAGTACGGAATTCGTTGTTCTTTCCTAATGAGAGTGATGCTTATTTTGAAGCTTTTATTTTGCATGTGTGAGTTACACTGCATACAATTGAATATATCTCGGTGTTATGCTAGATAATGTTTCATATTTTACTATCAACAGTGCATAACATTGTAAATTTAAGGATGATTTACTGCCCTCGCTCGTATGGCTTGTTACTTCTATAGACGGAAATCTGGTAAGGACCGCCCATACTTTACGTAACGCAAATTTGGAGTATTTTCAATATCTTTATAACGCATCCGTAGCGTGCGTGTAACCCCCTCCCCCTAAATAATTAGAGTAATAGTTACTCTTCCGACCACACACCTGCCTTGTAAATGCTAAAAAAGTGAAAACTAGAGGTGCTACAGTATGGCACAGACTTTCCCGCATTAGTTTTCAATTTCCTTTGGTCTCGACTAGCCATTCGAGCTTGCCACCTACACTTGCCTGCTGCCATCTATTGCCGTTCTAAGTGCATTTTTTGTTTACTAATAGAACGGAAATATTATAATAATATTAATGAACGGTTAAACCTCGGGCTAAATAACAAATTTCTTTGAAAAAATTGGAACGGTTTTTAAGAAAATGGCGCTTAAGCAAAGTACTTTTTCTCAGAAAATTTTCGACTTTTCGAGAAACTTCATTATAAGTCATTTGAACCACATTAATTCACAAATACAATAGTATTTACAAATTGCTGGAAATGTGCGTCTTACCGGCGTGTGAGATCTTAAAAAAAGATTTTTTTTAAAAACGTGACCAAAAAACAAACAACCCTGATGAACGTTACTTCACATTAAAGAGTTGAATTAGCAATACTCTTGCGAAAAGTTTAAAGAAAAAAAATTTTAACCGTTTTTGAGAAAATCTTGTTTTTGTATTTTAAAAAATTGTACACATTGCACGTAATTTTACACGTAAACTTCTAAAATTTTCAAAAAGTGTACATGCCTTTAAAGAAAGAACAAATTATGGACTACGAATTTCATTTCAAGGAAAAATCTCTATCTTTAATTTTGTACTTGTAGGAAGACCCCGAAAGAGGTGTACAAACTTTTGAATTTTCTGAAAATTCTGAGTTAACCGTGAAAATAGGATCTATGCCACATTTATAAGTGTATTCTACTTCTTAGAAGAAATTCAAAGAAAAAATTGGAACCATTTTTGGAAAAATTTTGAAAATGTCCGAGTTACTTCGTTTTAAGTACCCCCCAAAACTAATGAATGATTTTAAAAATTGCAGAGCTTTGACACAGGGCAAATGGACAGGGATTTCTTCAATTTGAAAATAATCGTACGCATTGTTTAGGCGCTAGTGTTGTTCATACACCAGTCAGTCGAACAGACGGACGTTAGAAAAAAGCACTTTTTCGGTATCAGGACCCCAAAACAAGTATTTCTGTTGATATTCGAAATTCTTTTTCAGTCCTCGAACTCTTTCGTTCATGCTTCCTAAACCGTAGCTGCCTGCAGTCTTTTTTATTTATGTGACTTTCTACTGTGGCATTGAAGTCTCCCATTATAATGATGTCCTTGGGATTTGTTGTAACCAATAGTTCTTAAATTTGTTCATAAATTCTAAATCTGAATTTGCATACACGTACGTGAACATACTTGTATTGTGACTTCTGAACATACATGTATTGTTTGTTAATTTTTTGTAGTGATCTGTTGATACTATTACCTGATGAATATTACTACGGCGAGTGTTGTAGTTATAGACAACGGCGTTTGCTGAAAATATATTTCCGACCTTAAGTTAGTCATGTAAAAAAAAACAACAACACTGATTCTTGTATGCAGAGACAAGGCTAGATTAAGAAAGAGAGCCTTACAAGAATCACGTGGGTGGGATTTGCTTATTATTCGTACAATTCTTTTTTGTAATCTAAAGGTCTGGGAGCTACAAGATGTATTTCCCCAGAATATTATTCCATATCTCAGGCGGGAATGAACATTCGCGATATGTACACAACGAGCAGTATGAAGACTGAATTTGAATGAATTCTGAAAGTGTAGCATAAATAACTTAGTGTTCAATTCATTTAAATGGACGTTTCATTTAAGATTCGACTGAAATGAAAGTCCTGAATAAATATTTTACTCTACTTACAAACTGCATTGAAACAGTTTTCTTTTCATTTACAATTAATTTGTCATTATGGAACCAATTTGAAATATCTAATGTTGTACTATTTAAGTTTTTTTTATTTCAAAGAATATTCATATCATCCGCAAAGAGAACTGTTCTTCCGGTTCTAATCGTCAAGGGCATATCGTTTACGTATAGTAGGAAGAGAATAGGGCCTAAAATCGATCTTTGCGGGACTTCACATGCAATTGGCAAAGAATCAGAAAGGTGTGTGCATGTTTCATTATTTCAGTACGGTATTTCTACTATTTGAGATTGTGGAAAAGTTTGAGTAGCTAGCCGAGACACA